CTGACCCGCGCGGCGAGCTGGGGAACTCCTGCTCCTCCTGAGGACACAGCCACTACCTTAATAAATGCTGCCCTGCTTCAAGTGCAGCAGGGTGTTTGGGGCTGAATTTCAAGAGCAACCCCTCCCTCCCCTTGACCACATTCTCAAGCAGACAGATGAAAATCACCGGGCATAGTCTTGTCACAGAAACTTCCCTGCTCTTTTCAAATCCTTTTTTTCATGCTCTTTAATCTCCCTCCACACAAGTACACACTACACTTCAACCTCAAACTTCATTTGTGATGCTAATCCCCATGGAGTTCTCCTCATGTTTTGTCATGGAAATGGATCTCTTTGGAACTATTTCTGGAGTGTTTTTGTAAAGGTTTAGAATGTCTTGGGTTTTTTAATGACTTGTATGAAGGAGATTTATATAATGCCTGATATTATTTGTAAATGGGAAATATTGCTAACATCTCTGAGCATCCTGAAGTCTTGCTTTTATTCTCTTATTTTTAAGTTTGGTTTTTATTTTATTTCAAAAAATATTTTGGGACTTGGGGCAGACTATTTATTAGAGTTTTGCAACAGAGTTCTTCTTGTATGATGCCACTGAAGGCTACTTGTAAAATTCTGACAAATAAAACTCATTTTAAAGGCTCTTCTAAACCATTTTCTCCTGATTTTGTCGGGTTTGTTGTTTGAGACTTTCCAGAGTGTCTGTTCTCCCTGCTTTCTTTTTGTACCACTTTTCTTATTGCTTAGCAATAGAGTTTCATTCTCTATCAGATTTCAACTTTTTATCCCTTTGAAGGCCATTACTTGGTATGTATACACACACTTCATCCCTTGACTTTTTACTTGTATTACTGCACAAATGTATTTTCTTCCCAGATTTACAAGGTTTGCTACCTTTAACAGTGACTCTGAGCTTCACCACACTGATACGAGGGCCAGTGAATTTTTTTGTCATTTATCAGGATTTTAGAACTTGCTTGGAAAAATTGAAGCAAATTTAGGTCAACCCCAAACTTGCCTGGCCCATCTGCCCATAGTGCACACAGCTTTCAGCAACCTGTGAGGATGCAACATGAGATGTTAGGTTTGCTTTGTTTTCCAGATCTCCTCCTTTGACCTGGAAGATGACCTTTGACATGTTCTGCATAGACTTTTTTTTGGCACAGTGGATCACTGTTCTTCATGGCTCAAAAACGTGGAGCTAGGTTGGTCTGCAGAAGAACTGTCTCCCAAGTTCACTGAATAGATCCTTAAAAGGTACGTGAGGAAAGAAAATCCATCTCTTTCTGGCAGTGAAGTACCCAACCAGGACAGCTCTGAAGCAACAAGAGCAAATGAAAGCACCTGATTGAAAAACAGGTTGACTCCTGGGAAGAAAATAAGATGCTGTCTTACCACCAAGCAGAAAGTTTCGTGCAGGTCAAGGACTTGCCCTGCCCACATTCGTAATGAATTCACGCCAGAGGTTCCCACGCTCCACCAAGTGGACTTCTAGGTCAGCCTAGGCCACGGCAAGATCTAACTTGCAGTCATCTCCTCACACCCAGAGTGTGAGGTGGGGCCTGAGCAGAGGGTGGGTGGCTGTGAGAGGAGCATCAGTAGCAGGCTCTGCCTTCCTGTCTCACCTGTTTCTCTCAAGAAAGAAATGTTTTATATTGCTGGAAGCAGCTTTGTGTTCCTTGTCCATGTTCCATTGTATAGGTGCTGTTCCTCCTGTGACAGTGTTGTGGATAGCCAGATGTGGCTGGTGCAGCAGCAGAAGGCTGCATCCCTCAATATTCCCCAATCAGGAGGGGTCACCGTGGGGGGGCTGCATCATCAGCAACACTCTCATCAGAAGAGAAGCAGGGTGTAGGTAACAGGTCAGAGGGTGTCAGGCTGCAATACAAGGTGACCTGTAAGGCATGGAGGAGGAGGAACAGGGAGGGGAGAGGCTGAGGGGGAGCCACTTATGGGGTTAGGGAAGAGATGTTGTGGGGATGAAAAGCAACACATCCAGGTTTTACTCCTCTGGAAAAGTGGTGGCTGTAGGACAGCCTGTTGTTCCTGTAGGAGGCTGTGTTCCAGACCCGACGAATGGGTACTGTGAGGAAGCCTTTTCCTTTTGTGGGAAAGGTCCCCATAAACCAGGCACAGCTTGGGAGTGTTGTCTGCCTGTAAAGCCTTTATGTAATCCTCCTCTCATCTTCTAGTGCCCTCTTTTGGGTAAATGGTTAACAAATCCTCTTTTAAAGCAGCCGGCTGTCTGCTAGCAGACACTTCAGCATGGTGTTAGTCCTGTGTGTGAGCATCTTGCTTTGCTGCAAGGCAGCAGGGGAACAGAGGCAGTTGCTGTTTACCAGCTGGTCTGGCATCCAAAACTGGATTCCTTAGAGGAGAGATGACACAGTCCCTCGTCCACTGCAGCCGCTGGAATAGAGATGTGGACTTTGCTGAGGTGGTTACTAAGGGACAGGAGCTGGGCAATGAGATGATGAGGCTTGTAGAGATGGCTTCATGTCTTCCTGATATTGGCTGTGGTGATGAAATCCTTACTGTGCTGTTTGAGGCAATGCTGGAGGGGAAGAAAGCTCACAGAAATACTTAATTCAGAGCTCTGTAGCAAGAGCCCCTTCTCCTAGCAGGGGTTTCAGCTTTGGCTGGGTGTGAGGGGAGCAAGGCTGAGGAGTTTGAGTCGGATGACTTGGAGGACCTTACAGAGGCCAAGGTCTGGATTTGGACCCCAAATTCTCTAAGGCAGGTGGTGGCTGATGGCAGCTACCTACACCCCCTTACCACAGTGAAGACTGGCCACTGTCCAGGAAAGGCAGATGCTCTCCCACTTTCCACTGCAGCAGCCTGAGGGAGTCACGTTCAGCTTTGGGAAGACACAGCTGGCTGCCAGAGAACCTTGCTGGGTTTTGCCCACTTAGTGCTCAATCTCACAGCAGGCAAGTCCCTCTCTCTGCCTCTTCCTGCACTTGCATGGACCGGTGTCCCTCCAGAAGGTGATTTCAGTGTGTCACCACCAGCTTGTGTTTCTCCCAGATGTTTGGTGTGGGATGATTTAAAGTGGCCAGCTCAAGTGGGAGCTCCTACAGGCAGTAAAACCGAGGTGCTGCAGCGAGCCACGCAGCCTTCCCAAGCCACAGGGCTGGGGGCTGCAGGATTCATGTCTGTCACCGCTTAGCTGATTTTGGAAGGATCCTCCGAAAGTCTCTTGTCCAACCTCCAGCCAAAGCAGGGTCAGCTCTGAGGTTAGACCAGGTTGCACAGGACTTTATTCAGCTGGGTCTTGAAAAAAACCCTCCACGGATGGAGGCTGCATGGTCTGTCTGGGCAATGCATGACTATCCTCATCAAGAAAAAGTTTTTACCTCTTTAAACTATTTTTTTATCGTAACTAGGTTGTTAGTAGAAAGAAGGGGCAGAGAGGGGTACCTAGAACTGGCTTCTTGCCTCTGAGCCTTTGTCTCTTAATGTTGATTCTTGCCTGTGTTTTGCCCTACTTAGGACTATTGAAACTGAAGAACTTTGCAGGTGTGAAGTTTCCAAGATGAACTGGAAATTCCCTATGGAAGGCAAATATCTGAGAGCTGCACCATATTCTGCTGTTCAAGCACCATGTAAAAAATAATCTCCTCTTCTTGATGAGAAGCTTGATGAGGTCACACCTATAGCATGGAAAACACTGGTTTGTGATTTCCCTTTCAAGGCTTCCATTGCCTAAAAAGGCACTGAAAAGAGCATTAGTTCCAGAGCTCTGATTTGTTTGTCCTGATTTCTCAGTCAGTTCTCAACTGATGTGTTCCAGTTGAAATCCACAGTTTTTAGCCAGATTTGTTTTCTCACTGAGCCATCTTTATTAGATGGTCAAAATATGGGACATATCTCAGCCTACGCAGGAGATTCAGAGCAACACGTGGTGGGTCTTCAGTCTGCTGTAAGATGTCCTGCT